CCCTCCCTCTCTGTTTAAATCCCCCCTACTCGCATCATCAACAGGCAGCAGCTCTGATCAAACGTCAGTGGACCCTTTTCTTTCCTCTGGCTCCCCCGTGTGTTAATGTACAGGTGGTGCATTGATTGCACCTGATGTGGATACATTCATGACTGAGGCAGGGACACCGTACACAGCGAAACACACACACATAGCAGCAACAAACAGCAGAGATAAAGGGACAAGAGAGTCGAGAGCAAGTGCAGGAAGAAAGAGACAAAACTGCTTCCTGTCAAAATGAATCACTTTTCACTCCTTTGACTCTCTTCAGTACGATCACAGATTCTTTTTTTTTTTTTCCTTCTACGGTTCACTGTTTTACCAGGCAGGACAAACAGCAGCATCCATCATCTCATCTCCCAATTGTTACATAATCTGGATTATTTTACGTTATCATCACACTTCCTCTTCCTCTAAAAGCCACGCAGTGTCACGGATCTGTTGACCTATAGGAGGTCAGCAGGTCCGTGACTCTGTAAGTGTGCAACATGCGATCCGATTCCAGTCATCCCAGTTCTCACACGCGCTCGACCCAGCCATCACAAAACACACAGACAGAGAGGAAGAGGACAGAGTAAGAGTGATCCTCGCCTCTCATCGCCACCAAGTTCTTCTCCCCCAGGACGGGACAGTCAGCCTTTACTCCTTTCAGAGTCCGTGGCTGGCAGTGGGCAGCTAATAACCTGTGACCCCTGACCCTAGCAGAGGTCAGAGACATAGTCAAAATCCTTGAAGTAGTCCTGTTCCTTGCGGGCGAGCGTGCGGCGCTCTCGGGGCGGCGTGAGGGCAGGAGGCTCGGCTGTGAACTCCGTGTCAAAGTTGCTGACGTCTTCCTTTCCTCCGATGGTCGGGATGAACGGCGGCGGGACTTTCCTCTGAAGAAGTGCGTCCCAGTCCATACCCTAAATGACATTCACGTTCAGTTTCACTCTCAGTACGCCCTACAGTAACGCTAAGATTAAAAAAGGAGACACTCACCCTGAAGAAAGATTGTTTTTTGACATCTTCAGCATCCTTTTCTGAAGAGCCCAGTCGTCTTTCAGGATTCCTTCTCAACAACTAGCAACCAAACAAAAACATAAGGAGGATACTCCATCACTCAAGTGACTAAAAACGTATAACCAGATGTACTGTAGAGCTTAAATGTGCATATTTCCAAGATTACAAACATACAGAGTGAAATAAAACATAAGTGTGTGAGTGTAAGTTAGTCAGGAGCAGGAAGTAACAGGAGAGTGTCAGAGTCTAACCCGTCTCATGATGCCGATGGCTTCTGTGGAGAGGAAGCGTGGGTAGCGCACTTCATCGTTCACTATGCTGTCGAAAACTTCCTCCTCATCGTCACCTGGGAATGGAGACTGAAAGAAAAAGACGCATGTTATATAACTCTCATTCCATCTCTCTCTTGTGAC